TAAATAAAAGTGTGCTAAATGTGGCGATAATTGAACGTCGGTATTAAATGGACCTCGGTACAACGAGGCTGACACTAATTTCCGCATATAATATCGTAATGAATAAATTTTCCAACGGCAGACGTGGCGAAGTAATTACGTGGCTGCTATTCAGAGTATGCAATTAGGATGATTGACGAGAGGAATGTGGGAGAGGCGGTGAACGTGGAACGAGGGTGAAAAGAAATGCGTGAAAGGGCCGGGCGTGTAGATAAGAAGCGAAATTTTTATCTAAGTTTAATCTTTCGTTCTTCTTTCAAGTATGAAACCGCAATTTACACTACAGCGTTTTTAAACGCGAGTTACAAGTACGAATGAAAAAGTTTCTTCCTCGTTGTATGCACGGTTGTGCTGCGCGGCATTAGATTGCTATTTTTCTCGTGCTATCGAGTACACAAAAATGTTTCGTTTTTTTTTTCCACGCGAATGTTATTCGATTCGTTGGAAAAGTCTCGATAAAAAAAAAAAAAGTTCACGTTCATTTTTAGTTCGTTCTTTATATAAATTTCACCGAGAGAAACCTACTTTTTGCTCTCCCTTTTTATACGAGAGTATACGCGCGCTCTCTGTATATTTAGGAGATATGTATATTTGCGAATTCTTTTTTTTTTTTTTTTTTTTAAATCGTCGTCCCGATTCATCCTTTGTCGTTCATTCCGAGATTCATTTTGCAATATTTATATTGATAATAATATTGTTTAGTAATAATATATGCAACATTATTTTCAATAATTAGAAGAACATAGATTGAAAAGCAATTATTTTATTCGTCGAATTGTATTGGGTGGGTGAAAAATTATTTTCTACTAGAATAAATCCGTAATTTTCTTATTACGTATGTTTTAATTTTTTTCTCCTGTACAGATTAAGCTTGAAATTAATAAAATTAATTTTTCCTTACATTCTGATGTTTTATTAAAAGAAAGAAGGGAAGAAACTTTTGGCCCACCCTGTATGCTGTAAAAGACCATCTCGTTAAAAAAATAATCGATACGAGAATAATTTTACCGAATTATTAAAATCGTATAATATTGGCACAATCGGTGGTCTCTAATTTGAAAAACATCGATTCCAGCGTGCTTCGATTCGAGTTCGTAATACGAATTTTTATTAGAAAGTGATACGTTGATATCTCGTGAAGATATTTTCAGTGTTTTCCGGTTAAATTTCCTGAAAACGATACTTGCAATCGTTTGTGAAACATTTATATTTGTCTCTGAAAAGAACTTACATTTTGCGATCTTACTTGTTGCGCGAGAAGTAATTCTTTCTTTTTTTCAATTATCTTTTATACGCGCGTGCACACGTGCCTTTGTACGATTTTTATACGATTAAAACGAGAAATTGGATTCAGTTGTTTGAAAACACGGGGCACGCGAGTACGTGGAAACGTTTCAATGTTGTTTTTGCTCCTCTCCTTTATGGCTCTTTATATTTATAAAGTTAACGCGATATCCGCGATATTTCTACGTTCAGGCATTTTAATGAGAACCGAAGTGAACGAAACACAAAGAGATACTTCGCGGAACTTCTCTTCTTTTCATCTACCAGTCTCGCGGCTTATTTAATAAAAAATATCCGCCACGACGCAATAAAATGTATATATTCCTCGGCGAAACTCAAAACGAATTTGTCCATATTCCTTTTGGCAGTGCATTTAAAATTTGCAAAAGGCAGACTCGAGTTGTTTCCCGCGTATTAATTCGAATTTTTATCTCTAAAGGAAATAAATTTTCTGTAAAAAAAAAAAAAGAAAGACTTTTCAATTAAGAGATAGACGATAATCCCAATTTAACAAAAATTGAGCCGCAGAAACAGCACGAATCATCGTCAAACTCCAATAAACGCTCGCGCGTAATAGCTCAATTTTGTATTTGGAGTTTTATTTGCATTTGGGAATCCTTGTTTAATAAAAGTTCGCACGCGTAGCGGATCACACCGCGCGTCAGTTTGTTTGTTGGATTTCTGATCCGAAAGTGTTTGCAATTAAAAACAAACGATCGATTATATAAAAAAAAAAGAAAAAGAAAAAAAAATGTAGACAATCGTGGAAAATCGGAAGATGCAAAGATGCGTAAAATGTGCGGTGTAACATTGCGTAAAACCATAGTTAACAATGTACAAAATTTCTTTAAACTTAACACGTGTTCACGACAGTTTAAAAAATACATTTAAAATGCCTACGCAGCCTATTTTTTTGTCAGAGAAAATCATCAATTACAGAAAATCATCAAGTTATTTAGCGTTCCTTCGGAAACGAAAATTGATTTTCCAATGCGTAACATTGTCGCGACATCTTGTATCAAGATAAATGTAAAATTCAAAAAAATGTTAATTCGTGGAATGTGAAGAAGTGTTCAGACTCGAGGGAAGTTTTGGAAAATTTTACGTGGATTTTTTGTTATACAGAGTGTCCCAAATTTAGACGTCGAAACTACAAGGACTGACAGACTGAGAGAAACAGCCGAGATTTGCACGTTTCTGCATCATTTTGGTGAAAGAAAATCGCTAGGAAAGAAACAAAAAGAAAGTTTCCATTCTTTTGCTCATTTATTTGCGCACCTATTCGTGTTTTTTGTCTATTTTCTCATCCATTTTATCAGCTCATAACATTATCCATTGTCATCTGTTTAACGAGTACACTGTTCAGAATGCTGTTAACCATTCAGCATTAGATCGAACCACTCTGATTGCAACTAAACATTGTTCTGTACTGACATTTGATACACCAAACTATCGATTGCTCTCTCAATTGCTCTGTGGAGTTGTTGATTGGCATCGAACTTAACTCACTTTCCTTTTCCTCGAGCAAGGAAATTTTCTCCGAAATGGTGCAAAATCGAGCAAACCTCAAGAGGAGTTTCTTTTCCCTTCAATTTGATTTTCTAGTAGGAGGTGATATGAGAATGAATTATCAACAGTTTGAAGTTTCTGCATTTCTTTGAATGGGAAAATTTAACTTCCTTCGAGAATAAAACTTGAGATTCAATTTTTTTTCTTTCGTGGATGTCACGTTCTTTGAAAGTTTGTTTGGACCATGTTAATGGCCTTTTAAGGCTTCCTTCGTGTTATTCAAAAATTCACTTTTGTCACCACCATTGGTCCACACGTCCCTGTTATTCAAATTCCGGACACCCCGTACATATCGACGTGATTAGTACAAAACCGTCCGTAATTAAGAAAAAATTTGCAGAGACAAACAAGCTGCGGAAATAAATCACTGTCAGATTCAAGAAGACAGTGAGCGGTCCAATCGCGAATCGTTTCCGTTTTAAGCTCGGGCGTAAGAAATGAAATCCGCTGGGAAAGTGTTTCGTAGAAAGCCGCCTTCTTTTCTTACGAGAGGAAAGATGTTACACATTTATCGTAATCCCGTCGATTATTGTTTTTGCCCGTCTTAAAGAGGCATTAATCTAGTGATTTTTTGTCGAACCGTAGCGATGAATTACCGTGTGACAATTCAGAAGGAAAAAAAGAAACGAGATCAGAATCCTTTAACCAGTTGCGCTGGGCAACTGGTTCGCGGACCGTAACGAGTGACCGAACCGTATAAAATGAAATCGTCGCTTTCTTTCTTCTTTTCAACTCGTCGGTGTGATATCACTGGATAGAGATTATTAAGAAGTAATAAACTCATCATTCGTTTTGCCCGGGTTGCATTTAAATATACTCAAAACTGAGAAAATGTTGCAATTTTGGGACAAAAAGTTCTCGACGTGCGTGGCACGCCATTCCAGCGTAAGAGGTTAAGAAAAAAAAAAAAAAGGATTGAAACTGGAATTTTTCAATCATCGTAGTATTTTGTATAACAGTTAGAACGAAAGTGCAAGTGAAAACGACTCGAAAATGAAAATAACAGCGGGAATAATGTTGTTTGCTGTTTGGAAGACTTTTTCGCGCGATAATTTTGCTTTTCTGCTCGAATCTCATTTTCTCAACTTTTTCGAAGTTTCAGACTTCGAACGAGTCTTCAGAAAATGAGTTCACAGTTCATAGAGTCAGCATAAGCAGTTTTGTCACTTTTTTGAGAAAAACATGTACAAAAATGGCTCGTGAAATTGAGAAAACTTTCGTCGCGTGTATTTCGCATCACACGTTCCGAAATTTAATTATTACTGCAATAGTAGTAACAAAATTGTCACTGTTACAGTCAAAATTACTAAATAAGTCTCACAGAGTGAGAATAAGCAATTTTGTCATTTTTTTAATCATTTTCTACGAAGAACACATACAAAAATGGCACTGCAATAGTAGTAATAAAATTGTCACTGTTACAGTCAAAATTACTNAAATCAGTCTCACAGAGTGAGAATAAGCAATTTTGTCATTTTTTTATCATTTTCTACGAAGAACACATACAAAAATGGCACTGCAATAGTAGTAATAAAATTGTCACTGTTACAGTCGAAATTATTAAATCAGTCTCACAGAATGAGAATAAGCAGTTTTGTCATTTTTTTAAAATCATTTTTTACGAAAAACACATGCAAAAATGGCTCACGAAAGTGAGAAACTATCGTGTCCGCGTATGTCTCAACATCTCGCACGCTTCGAAATTTAACGACCACTGTAATGGTGGTAATTAAATTGTTATTGTTACAGTCAGTTCTACGCGGGCAGCGTTGTTACAATCAATTCCGTACGCGCCGATGAAATCTCTCGCCGGCTAATCGAATTGGAATCCGCGTTTCACATCAAAGCAAGCTTAGCGCGACGTGAACAGCGCGGAGACTCGCATAATTTATATCGTGATACATGTCGTGTTTCGCAACGTTTCGTCAACGTTTTGGCAATTCGAGAACGATGATTTCCAACGGGACGCGTCCGCTTCTGGCAGAACGAAATGTGAATATCTTGAAATGAGCTCGAATCGAAAGGTTCTGAACGAGGCGAAAGAACAAAGGTCGAACCGCCCGCCACATGTTCGATAATCGATTCTGATGCAGATGTTCTTATTTCAGATGTGAACGAAATCTCGGGTGGTCAATAACGCGTGAGAAAGAAGCAGCAGAAATACTGAGAGGGAAGGAAATGGAGGGAGTATCGTCGGCAAAGAGGACCATCGGCAGATGGACATGAATAAGCTGCTCTGGAAGACACGATATATATTGTACATATATAGGAACCGCAAGTGTCCAGACACTTGGTGAAATTTGATCGAGAAGTGAGTGGTTTTTTATTTATAATATATAATATATAAATTATATATATAATACATATAATATATAACATTTTATATTTTTATATATTTTTATATTTTAATTTAATAATATATATCTTTATAAAATAAAATATATATTATTTTATTTTATATTTTTATATGTTTAAATTTTAGTTATAAAGATATAAACATATATCTTTATAAAATAAGATATATACTATCTTATTTTATATTTTAATATATACAAAATATATGAATTTTATATTTTTATATATATAAAATATATGAATTTTATATTTTTATATATTCTATATTTTAATTATAAAGTTAAATATAATATATATCTTTATAAAATAAGATATATATTATCCTTTTTTATATTTTAATATATATAAAATATATAAATTTTATATTTTTATATATTTTATATTTTAATTATAAAGATATAATATATATATTTATAAAATAAAATATACATTATCTTATTTTATATTTTTATCTTATTATATATTTTATATTTTAATTATTAAGATATAACATATATCTTTATAAAATAAGATATACATTATCTTATTTTATATTTCAATATATACAAAATATATTTATATAAATTTTTATTTATAGTTTTTTTTATAGTTATTTTCTTGTACTAGTAAGCTGAAAATTCTGATTATTTCGCGCGTTTTACACATTAGAACTGTCAAAGTGGTCGAAACGACTAATTTGTAATTTTTTCTTTTTTTGTTTCGAAAATTTTATGTATTTTCAACTCTTTGCCTTCAACATTTTTTGTGCCATCTACCTGTGCAATTTATTTATTTTACGAATTAATATTTTGTAATTTTGTTGATTATATTTTTCTGACGTGTGACCTAGTTTCAAGCAATCATCAAGTAATAATATTAGATAGAAGTTAATGATACATAATTTCAATCTGCTGAAAAATTTCCCTCGCCATTTTATGAACTTTCGTAAGAGGCAAGAAGAAGATTAATTTGTGCGAATTGTTCTGAATTACTCGAATAATAATTCGATCAATTTCTTCTTTTGGAATTTTGTCACAGTATTAGGGGTACACATAAGTAACGTCGTATTTTGAATCTTATTTTACTTAAGAGTTAATGCAGTTTTAATCTATAATATAATTTAACAATATGTATGTATTTATGTTCGTTATAATTATCAGCAATTGTAAAGAATTTTATAATTTTAGCTGTCAGCTAAGTGTGCTGACAATCGAGTGTAAAAGGTTAGAGAAAATTTTGAGAAACGTAAGCTGGAAGCTTGTGTAATTTATCGTTGTACTACAAAGCTTCTCCATTTTTCTTCTTTCTTCTTTTATTTCAATGTTTCTGATGGAAATTTTACGCCTTTTTGGTCGTCGATAGTTCTAACGTTGAGTTAAAAAAAAATTCGATCGCGCGTGACACGCAGAAAATGTACGAAATATCGGAAACACGCGAACTGTAAACTACATTTTAACGCGTATTTATAAATTATAAAGAAATTCTTGTTCAACTCAATTCATCGTGGAAAAATCACGAACTCTGCACGAAACTCTGCAGTCTGGCGTAAATCCGCGTTTAGAATGTTTTGAAAATTCATTGACGAGTCGAAGCTAGCCCCCCCCTCCCCCCCCCCCAAAAAATTGAATCGAATTGAATTCGAGAAACACAGCGGCAAGAAACGAACGACCACTTCCAAGAGATCTCCTCCGGCATTATTTTTCAAGTATAGAACGAACGAGGTTAGAGGAGTGAAGGCTAAACGTACACGCGTGCGAGCAAAAACAGAGGAAGAAGAAGAGTAAAGGGTATGTGAAAAAGGAATATAAATAGAAGCGCATAAAACAGCGTGGTACGAGACAGAGAAGACGCGCCGGTATGGGAAAACGATATCGATAAAGGGAATACGAAAAACAAGGGAGTTAAATGCATATGAAACGCGACTATAGACGCTGGGAATGGGGAGTATCGTGGAAGGAACACTCGAGGTGTGGAAACTTTCGTCTCTTTCGTTTTTGAATATCTCGCAGGTAAACAGGCTGCAGACGTTTATGCAAAATCACGTTCTGACGGATACGATTAAAGAAACGAGATCTCAGCTGTGATTTGTTCCCTTTGTTAGATATCCTTTGAGAAATACACGAGAAACACTCTGACCGCGAGCGAGGGTTTTACATAATTTTGCATACTGTGCGCGTTCTGCGTTTACTTCAGCTTGAAAGTTCAAGGTGTATACAGTATACGCTGTTCTCAAGAGCGGTTTCTCGTCTCTTTCACTTTGCAGTTACTCTCGATCTACTCGCAAAGAGAAAAATCATGTTAATGCCGGTTCTGAAATTCCGTAAACATCCCGGTGAGGCTTTGAAACAGGTGGTTTTCTAGGATAATGTTAGAATAGAACGATTGAAGTTTTTCCAAGGTATATACCTCGGTGAAAACGAAGCTCGTTTCCCACTCAATTCTCCAAGCTTTTAACGCCAGGTGCAGTTCCACGAAATTATCTGTCGAAACATTTCCGCGGTAGTTTGCATCATCGCGCACCGTGAAATTTCGAAACATCAGGATCAAGCAAAGTGCTATAAGTATAATCAGCTAGACTACCATTGTCTCAGTAAGGTGTTTCATGTTTCGAATCAAAGTTTCATCGGTCGAAAGAAACTGAAAGAAACAGCGTTGATCATATTTTACAACAAAATTCCGTGTGTTAACGTCACGCCCATTTCGCAGGAAGAAAAATTCTGTAAAAGCTGATCCCCGTCAGCAATTAAACCGATCGATCGCCACGGCGAAACGTCGAAACGAATGCTAACGAAAGTGACCTAAATGAATTCACAGGCAAACCACCTGGAGAGGAGAGCCACCCATCCAAGGAGGACGCCAAGAAAGAAGATTGACGAAGGAAAGAAAGGATCGGAGCGAGCAGGTGAAACAAGTTACGTCGCGAAGCTTATGGTGGTAGAGTGAGTTGAACGCGAGCAGAGGATAGATAAGGACGCGTCGAACGAGCGGCGCGGCTGAGGAGAAGAGAGAGGATAATGGTGGCGCATGCTCCTCCTCGTTGGGCACGTATCGTAGAGCAGCAGGCAGTTGTTGCCCTCGTCGGCTCCAGGTACACGCGAAAATCCATATCGACGCGGTGCACCGTCCCCAACGGCCGTTGACAGACTCCGCGGGCGACTCGGACACCCCGGCGATCAACGGCGAGCGTCGCGACGCAGCTTCCTCGAGATCTACGCGCCGCTACATACCATATCACCGAGCCTCGAGCCACGTGCCTCCGCCAGTCGCGTGTTACTGCTCAAACAGACCGCCGCCGAATCAACTTTCAAACCGCTTCTCGCGGTTCTCCCCTGTTCTCCCTTGTTCTTCTCCTCCACGCCGCGAATCTTACCGCCGGGATTTTCTTACACGTTACACGTTACGAGTGTGGCCTCGTCGTTTGGAACTAGCGAGTGGTGATGGCGAGAAACGAAGTTTGAAAAGAGAAGAACGGTTGACAGGTAGGGGTAGGAATTTTGAGAAGGGAGCAAGTGTTGTTTAGGATGATAAAAAGAAAGATTGGTTGATTGGAAGGGAAAAGTGATTATTGGGGACGATCGAAGGGTTAACAGGTAGGAATAAGAATTTTGAGGAAAAAAGCAAGTGTTGTTTAGTAACGATGAAAAACGAACTGGTTAGGTGGAAGAAGGAAGTGATTATTGGGGACGATTGAAGATAGAAATAGGGAGTTTGAGAAGAGAACAAGTGTTATTTAGGATGTTAAAGAGAAAGATTGGCTGATTGGAAGAAAGAAGTGATTATTGGAGACGATTGAAGGTAGAAATAGAAATTTTGAAAAGAGAACGAGTGATAAAAAAAGAACTGGTTGGAAGAAGGAAGTGATTATTGAAGGATTGATAGGTAAAAAGAGAAATTTTGAGAAGAGAACAAGCGTTATTTAGGATGATAGAAAGTAATTGATTAATTGGAAGAAGGAAGTGATCATTGGGGACGATTGAAGTTAGAAACAGGAAAAAGAACAAGTGTTATTTAGGATGTTAAAGAGAAAGATTGGCTGATTGGAAGAAGGAAGTGATTATTGGAGACGATTGAAGGTAGGAATAAGAATTTTGAGAAGAGAACGAGTGATAAAAAAAGAACTGGTTGGAAGAAGGAAGTGATTATTGAAGGATTGATAGGTAAAAAGAGAAATTTTGAAAAGAGAACAAACGTTATTTAGGATGATAAAAAGAAATTGATTGATTGGAAGAAGGAAGTGATTATTAGGAACGATTGAAGGTAAAAGTAGGAATTTTTTTGAAAGGAGAACAAGTGTTATTTAGGAAGATTGGAAGAAGAAAGTGATTATTGAAGGTAAGAATAGAAATTTTTAGAAGAGAACAAGCGTTATTTAGAAGTGATAAAAAGAAATTGGTCGAAGAAAGGAAATGATTATTGGAGACGGTTGAGGGTTGGAACAGGAATTTCAAGAAGAGAACAAGTGTTACTTAGGATGATAAAGAGGACGATTTTGAATATAATACGAATTTTAAGGGTGTCGTTTATCCCAAGGAAATTCATCATTTTAAGTAAAAAAATTGTCAAAAGGGAGAAAGAGATGATTGTTTAGAAAAAGGAGTTGATGACTAGGAACAAGCAAAGTATGAATATCGAGGGTGTTTGTACGAAAGGAATTCACTTCGAAACGAAGAGAAGAAGTGGTAATTAATAATTGATTGATTTGTTTATGTTGCTGGAATAGCTACGAGTTTCTAAAACATTATTTGTTCACAAAAATGCTCATAAAAATGAAGTCGCGATTGTGAATAAAAAGAAGATACGGTTGGACCGTACACGTAAACAATCGTAAGTTTAGGAGAACGTCATTTATTCAAAAGAAATTCAACACCTCGAGGAAGAAAGTGCCAATTAGAAAGAATTGGAACAGAAGGCGTTAACTGGAGAACAAATAGACAGGAATTCCGAGAGCCTGTCCCGGTGAAGTTCGTCCTTCGAAGTAAAAGGAAAGAATTGTTAATTAGTTGAATCTTGTTAGTCGAAACTAAGTAAGCACGCGTTCCAAAGATATCATTTACCCAATGAAATAAACGAAGAAAGAGCGCGACACTAAAGAGGTCGATCAGAAAAAGCTCGGACATTTCCAGATTGAAACGGGAGAGGGAAGTAACTTTGAGCAGCATTTCTAAACCGTAGACAGAGAGTCGGTGAGAAAGGCCAGAGGTAGCATATGGATGAAGAAACGAACGTCGACGGTATTCCACGAGGAACGATAAACGTGAAAAGTTCGTTTGCCACTGTCGCATAAAAGCGAAAACCAAAAAACCGACCTAAGGAACGCGAGCCCAAAGAGACTTGCTTGTAAAAGACTCGTTGGGGCGAACGTTGGTTAAAAATTTCCACCGGAAATAAAAGAACGTCGGGGCGCTGGTGTAATTTATAGCTTGCAGAACATCGAGCCACCGAGCAACGTGCTTCGCCGGAGAGCATTTTACGACGGTCGTCGATAGAGAAAGGGTAGCAAAGTTGGGGAGAGCCGCGTCTGCGAAAGGATTTTGAGAAACGAGGACACAACACGAGTTTAAGGTCTTGCAGGTTAACACACAGATGAATTACAGAGCGAATCGCTCAAGTTTTGAAACTCGTTTGCGAAGCTATCGATTATCGATTATAAGAGGTCCCGAAGTTCCTCGTATCTTCCCAGGCGACGGTAATAACCCCTGCCTATCGTTCAGGGACGCCGTTCTCCTCGAATGCAGCGTTAACCTTCTGCAGCTTTGCGTAACTCGACACGTCCACGGTTTCGGTAATTTCATTTAGGCGCGCTTGTTGCACTTCATTGTTGCATTTCGTCGATACGTAATATCGTGAAAGTAATATAAATTTATTTATAGTAATTACTAGCTTGAAACCTCGGGAATTAAATATTTGTTTCTCTTTTGAGTGAACGAAAGTCTGCTTCAGAGGGTTATTATTATTATTATTGTTATTAACATCATATTCAAATTTGAGATTGAAGTAAACTGCATAATTGAAGATTTACAACTTCTCTCTCTCTCTATCTTTTAAACAAAATTCTACTTACAGAGGGTTATAATTTTTATACAGTATCTATCTTTTATACAGTATCTACTTTATACAGTATCTATCTATAATTTTTATACAGTATCTATCTTTTATACAGTATCTATTTTATACAGTATCTATCTTTTAAACAAAATTCTACTTACAGAGGGTTATAATTTTTATACAGTAATTATTAGTTTGTTATTCATAGTAATTACTAGTTTGAAATCTCGGGAATTAAATGTTTGTTTCTCTTTTGAGTAGACGAAAGTCTGCTTTAGAGGGTTATGTATTATTATTGTTACTAATATCATATTGAAATTTGAAATTGGAGTAAATTTGCATAATTGAAGATTTGCAACATCTCTTTTTATCTTTTAAACAAAATTCTGCTTATAGAGGGTCATAACTTTTATACAGTATAATTATTAGTTTGTTATTCATAGTAATTGCTAGTTTGAAATCTCGGGAATTAAATGTTTGTTTCTCTTTTGAGTAGACGAAAGTCTGCTTCAGAGGGTTATTATTATTATTGTTACTAATATCATATTGAAATTTGAAATTGGAGTAAATCTGTATAATTGAAAATTTACAACATTTCTCTCTCTTTCAAATAAACAAAATTCTGCCCGCAGAGAGTTAACATTTTTATACAGTATAATTATCAATTTGAAATTGATGCAAATCTTTGCAGTCAAAGACCCATAGCTTTTAGGAATTCTTAGACAAAATTCTGTTCACAGAAAGTGATTATTGTGTTGATGTTCAGATTCAGAAAGATTGGAGTAAATCTCTGCAACGAAAGATCTACAACGTCTCTTTCTCTAATTACAGAAGATTACTATTACTATCAATATCCAAATTTGAAATTGGAGTAAATCTCTGCAGTATTTTTTCCTCTTTGTAGGCGAATTCTACTAACAATACAAACGGTTGTAATCCAGCTTTGAAATCAATGCAGATCATTGCAGTTAAATGTCCATAATAAGCTTCTCTTTCATAAGTCTTCTGTTTACAGAGTATTACAAACATTAGTGTCCAGATTTGAAGTCAGGGGTGAATCTTTGCAATTAAAGATCCTCGCAATATCTTCTTCTCTTCGCGAGAGCCGACAAAATTCTGCTTACAAAGGGGGATTCTCCGACTCGAAATTAAAACAAACAGCTACGTCACGGTATTTTCTCAGTTTCTGGTTGTAGAAAGGAGACCATTTTCTCAGTGTGTCCAGTCGTATGACCGATCGAAGGCACGCTTTCGCGGACAATAGTGGGAGAAGCTTCGTCTCCTCGACTGTTAGCCCTCGATCTGACGGACACCTAGGCCACCGGTGGTCCGATAATTGACTTTGCATTTCAAGCGGTTTGGCTAATAGCTGTCGAGTGCTGCTTTCCAACGGATCGGCTGGCTACATCAGACGATTTTATTCGCATCGTAATACGAGCGCCGGCAGACTTTATTCCACGAGGGATTACTGGAGAAAGAAAGTGAATTTATTAGGTGAAGTGAAGTTTCGACAAAGTTGCAAGTGTCGTCGCGTTTAGAATATAAAACTGCCGGAAGCAGGTCTGCAGGGAACTATTTTAAAAGAAGAAAAGGTGTCAGGTATAAGATAAAGTTGTTGGAGGAATTGTAAAATCGTTCTGAAACTTTAGAAAAGTGATGAAAGGTCGTACGAGTTTGTCGAAGGGAGAGACACGAGTCGCAAGGATTTTAGGAGAAGTCGTGTGAGACATTGGAAAAAGTTTATTAAGATTTTAACAAGCAAAGAGGTTGATAAAGAGCCGGAAGGGGATCTTGGTGAGGTCTAAAGGTAAACGTTCGCAACGGAGACTGTGTGTTCTCCTCCTCGGTCAGATTTCGCGTAATCCCAAGTTAGGAAGCTCCTGTGAAATCTCCCAACGGGATATGACGACTTCAAAGAGCAATCCTACGCAGTAGCACGGCTCTCTCGGTGCACGCAACTCAATGAGCTCGCGGCTGATCTGATTTCACGCTGCATCGACTTCTGCAAATTTTATTCGCAGTAGAATGAAATTTCCTGATACGGTCGCCGAGCATTAACGACGATTCATCGTCTGTTTCTCTTCCTACGTTTGCTCTGCAGTATTGAATTGTAAAAAGGAGCGAATGCGAGGATCCCAGGAAAATTTTGCAACGTGAATTCCATACGTGTGACGTAACGATAATGTGTGTAAATATAATATAAATGGAAGGAATCGAACGTTCTTCAGGATCGTTGCATCTGCCTCGTGCTGTTGGAAAAGGAGAGACGAGCGTTTCAAGGAGTTTCTGTATCGCGCATACGTTAATAAAGGAGCTTTTGCGTAAATAAAGGTGACACAAATATTCGAGTATTAACGGAGAGTGGAAGGATACGAGCAACAACAATCCAACAGAGCGTGTGTATGGGGGAATTAAAGATTTTCCAGAGTTCTATTGTTGCGTTTCGACCAAGAGCAAAATGGAAATTCGCAAGGATTAACCGATAGAAATCTACAAAGCCTGCGGAAGTTTCAAAAAATTTTCAAAAAAATATCGATCCTGATACACTCGATATAATAAAGAAGCTTCTCACATTTTATCAACGAAATCTGCAAACAAACGAGATTTACATTGCGCGTTAACGAAGAGAATTTAGCAAAAAAGAAAAGAGGACGTTCAATATTCTTCGGTGCTCTCGGTGGAGGAAAAAACGAGTCCTATAGGATTAATCGAGCCCGCTTTAATGGCAAAGGATCTTGGAAGATCAACGAGCATTAGTCGGCAAATCCGGCGGTCGGCCAGGAATATCTCGGCTTTGCTTCCCAGCGAGGAATCCCATCCGGGTCCGCGTGTCGGTCAGTGAAAAATAAAATCCCCCGGAGATTAAGCGCTCTCTCTTTTAAGCGATACGTGGAGGGAATGATTCGCACGCAATCGACGCCAATCACTCTCGGATCCAGATTCGAAATACACGGAGGACACGGAGCGCGAAACGTCTCGCGATTTGATTAGATCGCACGATTTGCAACGAAAATTGAAGAGGCGGGGAAAAAGCGGAAGAGAAACCTGGTAAAAAAGTAGTTTACGAAAGATCTAAGATCAAGGTCCAGGAGGTAGTTTACGGTGGTCGCGTAAAATTTACTTACGATCAGTTCAACGAAATTCAAAGTCACGTAGCGGGAGGATTTCAAAATTTTCGTAAAGCAGCGAATATTTCAATTACTTTAATTAGAAAACTATACGAAACTATGTAAACGTACGTACACGGGAAAAAACGAGAGTGAGAAGCCACGAAAGTCGCGCGGCATTTCACGGAAAAAAATTTCCAATTCAATCCTGAAAAACGTCAGTCTTCCCTCTCGACTGGGCAAAAAGAAAAAAAAAAAAAAAAAAAAAAAAGTAGCGTGAGGCAGTGTCAAGATATTGTTAGGTTACGCGTGTGTAAGCCACGTGGCAACGTTCTGGTTTTTTCAGAAGGGGAACAAAAAAAGTTTCGACCGAATTGCTTTTCGCTCTCGAGCTTTTTAGCGCGTGCTGGCCTCGTGTAGAACTGTGTTAAGAGGAAAGGGAACGGTAGGGATGGTACGAGGGCAAATTGTCGTATAGTTGACAGATCGAGAGGGA